TTAATGTCTGCTATCATTGTCCACATGCTAGAAAGACTGGTTTGTGTTTTAAAAGAGACAGAATGGTCACAAAAACACAAGTAGAGTCAAAGGATGTGTGTCCCACTGAAAGTTCTTGTACTTGTGTCACATGTGAACACAGCCAGTCACCTCATCTCTCGGGGCTTCAGTTTTCTAATGTGTCAAATGTGGGCTGGACAAAATAATCTCAAAATCCTTTCCGACTCTGGTATTCTCTAAGCCTTTGTATCACTATTACTTGGCATTACTATGTATTTTTTCAAGTTTAACTTACAAAGCTTGTAAGCCACTTGCAATTATGTAAAACCTCTCAAGTGTTTTAGAAGTATTCCCAGAAAATCTACAAAGCTTAATTAAGAATTAGGACTAATGGACTAATGGCCTAAACATAAAATGGTGTGTTAGCTTTTGTTTCCGTAGGCAGAAATGCAGAGTATCTCAGAAGGAAAATATCAAGATTAAAAAATAATATATACCAAATTAAATATGTTTTCATGATTTTAACTATATACTAAAAAAAATACAAAACCAATGTAAACTTTTTGCCGTAAAGAGAAAATCTGGTCTCAAATATAGCCAATGACTAGATGAAATCATTTCTATAACAGTTATATTTATTACCAGTTTTGGAAAAAAAAAGTAAAAGATTTTATTTATTTTTAGAGAAAGGGGAAGAGAAGGAGAAAGAGTGGGAGAGAAACATCAATGTGTGGTTGCCTCTCATGTGCCCCCCCTGGGGACCCGGCCCCCAACCCAGGCATGTGCCCTGACTGGGAATCGAAGAAGCAACTCTTTGGTTCACAGGCCTGCACTCAGTCCACGGAGCTATACTAGCCAGGGCCTAGCACTAATTTTTGAATACAGGCCTATATTGGTTTCTCACAAGTTATAAACTTCAGTTATAAATGGCAGCCTCCTTAAAATATTATATTTACTTGTAAAACTTTACTTCCCAGAGATGTAAACACACACACATGCCATATACACATGAGCATATATCAAGGTCAGCTTCTTCTACTTTTTTTACTATTAAGTCAAAACACAAATTTGAAAAAAGCAAAGTACATATTTTTCAAATTGAAGCCAAAATCTTGATACAAAAAAAAAAGGTGAGAAAACATTCCTATTTCAGTTCATTCTTGGTTACTTAAGAAAACATACACATACCATTCTATGATTTCTATTTCATATAAAATTATAAACTCATTCTTGTGAGGCAACATTGGGCTCGTGCAAATTTAATACATTTTATATATATTGAAAATGTTTAAATCTGCAAAGTTATAATAAATACAAAATATAAAGTGCTAGAGAAGATTAAGCTTAAATGAACATTATGGCCTGAAAAGTCATTCTATTTCCACCAAATATATTTTCTCAATATCCACAGTGAGACATAAATACATAAAAGGCTTTAAAAATATGTGTTTTCCTAGCACTTGGGGTGGCTGTTGGCCTGCAGAAGTGAACAGGCCAGTCTAGGAGGAACGGAAGCTCTGGGAGAAACCTCTGAGCAGTGATGACTCAGGTTCAGAAATAAATGAACGAACGGGGGATAGTTCAAGTGCAGCCCCAGAAGAGTAACTAAAATAACAGTGGACATGCACCTAGTAGTAAGTCAATATATCCAAGTTTCTTCTGGTTTAAAAGATCTTGTAGAAAATTATGCACACAGTAAGAGACCTGATAATGACACTGGTTAAAAACCTGAAAGACGGGAGTGAACAAGAGGACAGCAGCTCGTTTTTAACACTAAAGACCTTCATCTACCTCCGTGTCTGTCCTTGGACTGCAGCCCTGGCTTATGTGACAGCTTTGCCACCCTCGCTCCCATGGCCCGTCATCACCTGCCGTGCCTAAAACTGTCGTGAGAAACTCACATCAAAAATATGGCAGATTGATGGCACTTTTATTGCCTCTTCCTCCTCAAAACTCATTTAATGATAAATGAGCACAAATGAGGACACAGAGGAGATAAGAATGGGTGAATGATTTTTATAAATTTTTGGAAAACATAGAATACATGATGCGTGACTGCAGTCAGGAAAGCTACCACTTATTTGCTTACTGAAGGAGGACACTGCATTAAAAGTGGTGAGAGGCTCCAGAAGGTAAGGGTCCCTAAAATATGGGAACTAGTTCAAAGTCTTCATGGAGAGCAGTTAACTAACCGCCAGATCCCCATCATCACACCCGAGACCCACAGAGGATCTGCTGTGGACTGAGTGTGTGTGTCCCCAGACTGCACCCCCACATGTGCAAATGTTGAGATCTGAGAAATTGAGAACATAGCCTGACCACAGCAAAACAGGCTGATTGTAATCTGCTTAGCTTTGAATTTTGAACCCCCATCCTGTTCCCCACGCGAGGTCTCTGTCAGCAAACAGCTAACTGCCACGTCTGCTTCTGTTCGACGCTTGCTTGCTCGTCCCTATATAAGGACTTAGCTGTAAGCGCTCGGCGGGACTCCCATCTGCAGCCCTCTGGGCACCGTGTCTCAGGACACTCCGAGAGTTCGCTCCTGCGCAGGTTAAGCTTGGCCAATAAAATAAGATCAAAACCCTGAAAGGTCTTCGAAAGTTATTCTCGCATCTGGTGGATAGAACACAATCCACATGCTGGTAATTGGAGGCAGGGCCTGGGGAATGTAATTAGGTCATGGAGGCGGGGGGGGGCTGCATAGGAGAGAGGATGTCTCTCTCTAGCAGGTGAGAGCACAGCAAGGATGTGTCCATCTGCAAACCAGGAAGGGTGACCTCACTGGGACCCAAACGTGCTGGCACCTTAACCTCAGACTCCCAGCTTTCAACAGAGTAATTTTTGTCGTGTAAGCCACAGAGACTTTGGTATGTGTTATATACTCAGCCTGAATTAATACACTACTCCTTTCTTTGAACAGAAAAAAAGAAAAAGCTTATTTTGTGGTAAATTCAAACATGAGAAGCTAGCTCTAAGCATAGGAGGCATAGAAGTGAGGCTTGGGACCAAAAATGGAAAAATTAAATGACAACATACACAATGAACATGGGACCTCAGCACCCTTCTCCTGCCTTGTCCCTAGAACACTGGTAGCCTCCATATCGAATGCAGTAGATTGAGGATCTTCTCTGGGTGGGGGTGGAATTCATCTTTATGCATCTGGCTATCCCTCAGTGAAAAGGCAAGCTGACCACAAAATCTAAACCAGAACCTTGCCCCAACACAGGGGCTTTCTCTTAGCTTTTAGTCCCTCACTTATTAATCTGAAAGAACACACAAGAAATTTAACATTTGAGAAAAGCTTCCAACATGAAATGCGCCAAAAGAGAATGGACTCTAAATTACAGCAAAGGATGCAGTGACATTGTAGCAAGTGGTATATTACCAAAACACCTCATATAATATCCTCTGAGTGAGATGTTACTTAAATAAAGGAGATGCAGAATGCTATGAAACAGGAGAGAAGAGGACCCAAAAGAGCTCCTGAAGATAACTGTGACCAGCTAAACGGGGGTCAGGGACAGGTTCAGCAAACTCTTTCTGTGAATGGACTCATAGAGAACACTGGGAGCTTACCACTCACAGCCTGTAAAGTCCGCCATTGCAAGGTGAAGCCATCCACGGATAATACATGCACAAATGAATGTGAATGTGTTCTTCATTTACAAAAACTTAAGTTTATGCAAATAAACTTGACCCAATAGCATCTGCTGACACCTGATCTGAAGTTTAAATTACTAAACAAATAAAGTATCGTGACATAAAGCCTAGACATCACCTAAGAATAAAGAAAAGAAAACAAAGAGCTGGAAAATGGGTGAGGGGAGAAAGAACCGATCCAAAATCTGCCTGTAAAAGTCTCAGAGAGATCACAGAAAATGGGGAGAAGTGATTTTTTTAAAAAGACAAATTTTGACAAAACTGAAGGACACAAGTCCTTGCATTAAAAAGGTCCACCCACTGACTACCCAACAAAATTAATTCAAAAAGGCCCCAAACAAAACACATTTTGTACAATATCAATACCAGGGAAAATACAGTATCATAAAAGTTTCCAGAGAGGAAGCAATAGATATTATACACAAAGAGGTGAGAATCAGAATAGCATCTGATTTTCAACACCAAGAGCGGGCATGAGAAAACAGTGGAATGATGCCTTAATGACTCTGAGGAAAAATGATTTCCAATTGTGAATTATACCTACGATGAATCTATTAAGCAGTAAAGACAAACAAACAACTCAGACGTCATTTTTTATTGCGCATTTACCCTTTCTTAGGAATCCACTAGCGGATATGCTTCGGCAAACGAGCAGTAAACTGAGCAAACGAACATGCGGATCTCAGGCCCCGAGCGCGCAGTGCAGAACAGCGAGCGGTGGGACTCAGGGCGCTGATGAGACGCTGGAGCAGAGAAACGGAAGGAGGAAGAACGGGATTATCGGAACAGATTTTTGGAAAAATTAACCTTTTGACAAAGTGTTTAAAATACGGGGGAAAAACAACTAACACTAGGCACAAACAAAACCAAGCAAATTTGAGAGAGAGAACAAGCACTTGCAAAAACAAAAAGTTAAATGAAAACAGCAACTGCCTCCACTTAATCCAGCAGCATCATTGCGTACCACAGTCATCTCAACTACTGTCTCTTTACTTCACGAAAATTAACATAGGATGTGGGGGACTGAGAAAGAGGGTATCTTAGGTTAAGTAGCACAAAAAGAAAATATCAATAAAATTTACACATATCATGAGGAGGAAATAAAGAGTAGTTGATCAAGATGCTGAGAAGCAGCAATGCGGATGTTTTCAATACAAGTTTTCTCTATTTGCTTTCAACCGATGGTCATAAGACTCAGTTCTCTATGATGCCTTAATATTCCGTACTTCTCAGAGTTACCTGTTAAATTTCAAGTACACTGAGGAAGCTAACACTATAAGCCATTATCAGCTAATACCATAGAATTCATTTGTTGATAAGTGGGGAAAATGTACTAAAAAATGGGTCGCCATAGGCAGAAGGGAAGAAGAACGGGTGATAAGAAAGAAAATCACCGAGAAAAAGGTAAGGAGGCACTTGTGGAGAGAGGTGCTTCTCCTTTCATCATGTGTGTGTGTGTGTGTGTGTGTGTGTGTGTGTGTGTGTGTGTGTGTATGTGTGTGACCGTGTGTGGACACTGGGCTTGGGTTGTGATAGCGCCCATGCGCCTGCACCTGTCTCTGAGTGGGCGGGGCCACCTCTGATGCAGCAAATATTCCTGGTGCCAAGCCCCAGTCAAATGACTGGATTGAAAAGGCAACTCTGGGCAGACTCATTTTATCAGTCATGTTTCTACGTTAGTTATCTCTTAAATTTCTTTACCTTTAAAAAAATTCTTAAAATTGTGTTTAAACTTTCAGCTGTGCTACTTGTTCCAAAAAGAGAGTATGTCCGCCCCTGGGCTGAAGTGTCAGAGGCAGGGGCAGCCACTGCCTCCAGCCGCTGCACGTCTTGCTGGTGATCAATAAAAACATCAAAGAGAGATTAGATCGGAGAGGACAGTGACACGGGCTGCGTCCTGCCTGTTCCCAGTGAGGAGAACTCACAAGGGGATCGCCTGACCACTCCATCACACTGTCACCAGCCCTGCTCTTCCACGCTCTTCCTTCGTGGCACTTATCTGCAGTTGACATCGTAATGCGTGTCTGAGATGTTTATGTTTTATTACCCCACTAACTAGAACGCAAGTCCTCTGATGGCGGGCACTTCGTCTTGTTCATCGCTGCATCCCCAGCATCAGGGGCAGTAAGAGAGCTTGACAAACATTTGTTAAGTAAAGAACTTCTCAAACCAATAGCAGATAAAAAAAATTTTCTTTATATCAAGGACCCTTGGTTTACAGGGACTAAGCTGATTTCTGCCTAGACCGCACTGTGGCCACATGGGGGCGCTGCTGGCAGCCACAAGGGATCCACAGTGTTCCCCACACTCACCAAGGAACTACTTTGCAATCACGAGTAAGCACTGCTATAGAGAAGGGTTCCCCAGCCCAGGTGAAGAGTCCCCAAATAGGCCAATATATTTTACTGTAAAATGAGGATGCTCGGGCTCCTAGTCACTGCTACTGCAAACCTACAAAATGTTTTTCTGCTTTCATAACTCTATCTCTTAGGTTTGCAGCAAAAAACAAAACCAGACATCTCAGAAAAAATACTGAACTAAACAACAGAGCGTCAGGCCTGTTTATCCAAATCAAGATTTGTATTACCTTTTTCTGCCTGGTGGTTGGGGAATTTAATTCATAATGCTGATACATTTGTCAGAAAGGAAATTAAAAAACAAAGACTACTGTACCCAACTGAAACTATTATACACAGTGCTTTAAATAAAAAGACAATGTTACAGACAGCATGCTTGTGCCCCGCCCCCACCCCCACAATTCATTTGTTGAAACCTAACCCCCACCTGATGGTATCTGGAGGTGGGGCCTTTGGGGTGATTAGATCAGGAGACAGATCCCTCAGAAAGGGATCAGGGCCATTATATAAAAGAGACCCCTGAGGGCTCCTTTGTCCCTTATGCCACGTGAAATCACAGAGAGAAGATAGCCATCTACATAGGAACCAGGAAGCAGGCCCTCACCAGGCAGGGCGCCTGCCAGCGTCTCCACCTCCCGCCGCCCAGCCTCCAAAGCAGTGAGAAATACATCTCTGTTGTTGATAAACTACCCCGCCTATATTCTGTTGTAGCAGCCCAAATGGACTAAGGCAAAAATGTTTTGGAAAGAAAATTCTTGTTACATCAGAATACAGTGAAGCAAATACAGCAAAATGTTTATTATGATACTATTTAAACAGCATTGACTTTATATTCAAAGAACAGCCATCCAGGTAAAGTAAAATATCAAATATTAATGTGGAAATTTTGTAAAGAGACTTTCATCTAAAACTCCTTTGTTCCATGATGAGAAATCATAAGAAGTTTGGGAATATATATAGGAGTATAAATTTTACAGTTTGACTAGTACCACATGCTCCTTCATGGAATCTGCTCTCGGTGAAAAGCTAGAAAACCGATTTCTCTCAGGACAAATAATGGCATATAAATTTTCATTGCTGTTTTTGACAGGACATTTTTGAGCTTTTGTTATAAAAGTACTTCAATGTTAATACAAAATCAACACGTTCATTTATGGAGAAACACCAAATAATTGTTTTTGCTAACGATGGGCAAAAAGGCAGGTGTGCTGGGCTGTGAAGAGCAGAAATTCTGGTAAATAGGAAAGTTAAACCGACAGGCATTCTTGGAACCTTAATATTAATCTGTGCTCCCAACCTTGCCAGTTGACTCCATTATTCAATTCTGTGATAGCATAAACACCACAAACTAAAAGTACATATTTTCCTCCAAGCTCTAAATCCCTTATTATTCAAAATTTCTACAAGTCTCAAATTTGCTACCAAGAGTGAATAGGTGCCCAAGTATGCACCTGGGGCTGGACATTCTCCTTAATTTAATCAATGGGCCCTTGCTCAACATAATATGCCATTAAAACCCACCCCTTGCAGGTTAAATGACACAAGGGGAGGCAGCAGCAAATGCAGGACATGGAACAAGCTGCAGTCCCATGGTCTCGTACCTCCCAACAAATCAATGGCATTAAAAATATTAACGAGGCTTTGGAAACATGAGAACCAAATACAGTGTTTGGCTTTTGCCTAGATCTTGACAACAAACCAAATTTAAGGACACATAGTTAATTTTGTTAAGTATAATAATGCTGGATGGTTAAAAAAAAAGTCTTTGTTGGTTAGAGCTGCATACGAAAAACATAGGTGGCTAAAGTAACATGATTCCTGAGATTTGCTTTTACAATGTTCCCCCAAAAGTATGTATATGTAGGAAGGGAGGTGGGGAGAGCCAAAACAAAATTAGTGAAATATTGATCACTGTTAAGCTGATGTTATTTATACTATTCTCTCCACTTTTGGGTGTTTTTAGATATCCACTTAAAAATAAAGTTATTTCTTCAAAGTCATGTAGTCCTTTCAGTGTTCCGAAATCCACCTCTAAGTGTTGCACTTTAAGAGTCTGTTTTTTCCTGTCCCCAAATTTAGCTGAGGGCTACCTCACAGGAAGGGACAGCGGGGACTACAGTGAAGCCTGTGAATATGGATCAATGCTGTAGCACAAATGCTTCTTCAGGTGAAGGAGAAGCAGACCTGTTGGATAATCTTGTAAGGTCTCCTTCACTTGAATTTGCCTCGTTCTATATAGACACTGAGAAACCATTTTAATGATTAGACCTGGAACATTAAGTCAGAGATGTTCGCTGAGAACCATATGTGACCAGACAGTGTTTTTAATGGACCCCTTGAAGCAAGCAGATGGAAACCAAGGGTATTTCAGAGATGTGTCGATGCTCTGATGAAAAATCAGAATATAATTACAAATGCACAAATGCATATGAGTATTCTAACCAACTACAAATTTTAAAAAAATTCATAGCGACAGGAAACTGTTAGCATTCTGATAACCCTATTACATGACAGAATAACCAAGTCACAAACATTAAGCTCTTTACAATATCTAGATCAAGTACATTTATTGGTGAAAGCACTTTATGAGCTACAGCATAAAATGTCAGTGATGTATGTCATATAATAAATAGTTGTGTTATTAAAATTATAGTGGAAAGGTAATCATGAAGAACTTTTCAATAATATTAGTAAATTCTAACTCTGCCCTTGCTTATGTTAGTGACCCTCGATATATGAAGGGGGGCCCAAAACACCCAGAATTTATTTATTAAAAAGTTGTGTGTTTATTTTTACACATTAAAACTTCAGTCACTTTCAAGGTACTCTCCATTTGATGCAATATACTCATCAAGACTTTTTTTCCACTGCTCAAAAGTTCTGAACTCAATTTTGAGTGCTTTTAGTGCTTCTGCCATTTTTTTGTTTCACCTCTTCCACATGGGCAAAATGTTTCCCTTTGAGGACTTCTTTCACCCAGGGAAATAAAAAAAATCACTTGGGGATGAGATCAGGTGAATAGGGAGGGTGGGGCACTGGGGTCATGCCATTCTGCTAAAAAACTACTGAACACTCAGTGTGGTGTGGGCATGTTTGCTCGTAAAACACCCATCAGGAAATGGGCAAACGTGTTGAAAGAGTCTTCAAGAAAATTCACAGAAGCTGAATGCAGCCTCTCACAACAATGCCAGCTGGTGCCCTGATACAGATGGACCCCTAGAACACTCTCTTAGCAGGGAAACCTGTACTACAAGGGGCCTGCCCTCTGAAGATAATTCTGGTTTTTGAGGACCCCCCTGGTATGTTCATTCCTGAATATGCTCATGACCAAAGAACCTAGATAGAATCAAAAGCAAAATAATTTTCTCATAGGTGCTCTGATCCTAGACATATTTTATAGTACTTTATAGACTATGATATTATGACATATGAATTAGAAAAACTTATCCTAAATAAAAGCCTTAGAGATTATAGTACAGGTTTTATGAGCCCCATTTTGCACATAAGCAAACTGAGATCCTGAGAAGTCTGGCCATTATCAGTTCTAAATTCTAAATGTCAACTGTCATATGCAATTAAAACTATATATCACTCTCTAAATGATTTTAGAATGACATTTGGGCTGTACCACAGTTATTTTCTGTAGTGCTCAGTTCCCATATCTGGCTTTATGTGATTGTCGGTTTTCATCAAAGCTTCTGGTACAATTGTTCTCCCAGCCGTATGCGAACATATCTGTCTGGACCATCTAAATATAAACCCATGTTGCTGTTGTCTAGTGGCTAATTTTGCTAAACTTCTTATAAAATATGTTAAAATATATTGTGGTGCTTTGAAGCCTAATATCAAGAAGATGTTTTCAAAAATTAAAGTCTCATAAAATTGAAGAAAAGCGAGAGCCAAATTTGAACTTAATTCAAATGTGTTGAACCTTGATCTTATTCCCAACGCTTGACCCTTGGAAGCAGTGAACGGCTCCACCAATCCCTCCAGTTGCTCGGCCCGTAAAAGTAGGAATCATCTTTAATTTCTCTCTTTATCTCATAG